GCCTGGTGTTTCCTGCCCAATGCTGGCCACAGACTGCGAGCGTGTGGTCTCGCCTGGCGTCTGTGTCACTGGCATCAGTGCCGGTGCCGCGGCGCGCGAGCACGCGCCCCATATCGCATCTGTCCAACCGTCATTGGAAGTACCGGAAGCATCATTACGATGCGGCCGCAAGCGCGCTGCCTCGCCAGGCGTTGCAAATATATTATTTGCGACGCGCGAGCACGCGCTTCCTTCTGCGCCCGCACCGTACGCAGTGGCAGCATCAAGTGCCCACGGCGTAACCTCCACCCAAAACTACAGCTACGGTGTGCCTCAGCCAGGCACTACTGCGACACTGGGAGCTACAAATAAAGCCGGCGCGTTGCATTCCAAGCCGCCCTCTCACGTTCATAATCCTTGTACACGGACACACACGTTAGGTACACAAAACGAATTTATTTGTAACCAAAATAAAAATGACCGCTCACATGTACCTACCACTTCACAAAACCAACCCAGTGACTTCCTGAAGTTGGCTGAAGTCATAAGTGACCTCGCCCGTTGTAGCAGTGGAAAAATTAACCCAGGTACGGTAGTTAGCTTGCCTATATTTTCCGGCACGTCACCCACTCATTGGTTAACATTTAGAAGCTCATATCTAAATTCCAAAAATATGTTTTCGGCGACGGAAAATATAGGTCGATTAAATAATGCACTCCGAGGAGCCGCCCGTGATGCTGTCATTTCCCTCCTGGCCTTGTCGCAAGACCCAGAGGAAATCATGGAGGCTCTGCAGGAGCAGTTTGGTCAACCTGAGCTTCTGATCCGTCACTTAGTATCAGAAGTTAAGGCCATGTCCAAGCTGTCAGCATCTGACGGTGGCAAGGAACTCCACCAGTTAGCTTGTGTGGTACGCAACTGTGTCCACACCATAAAGATGTTGGGTTCTGTGGAGTACCTCGCCTCTCCAGAGTTGTTGCATAGTGTGCTACTTAAATTAACTCCACTGATACGTGAGAAATGGGTTGATTATGCATTCATAAATGCCGATACCGGGTTCCAATATAAATTAGAATTGCTTTCCGCCTTTCTCACACATCAGTCTCGAGTTCATTTGAGGTTTGGCATTGTCGATGACATTTCGCGCCCTAAGCCTATAGAAAAGGCTCGCACGCATGTCACGACTAATGTCAGCTCAGACGAAAGTCCGAGTGACATATGTTATGCCACCGCCTCACACTCTACAGCTCGTAAGTTGTCAAAAGGCAAAGTTACTCCATCTACGGCCGCAGTTGATAACAATAGGCCCTCAAATTCTCCCTCTATTGCTTATTGTTTATACTGTAAAAAGAATGGTCATGAAATCTCAAATTGTGATTTATTTAAAAATATTTCTGTTAATGATAGATGGGATTGGGTTAAAAATAATAAAGTTTGTCAAAGATGTCTCAAGCGGGGCAAACATTATTATAGGACTTGCAAAGGTAACTGTAGGGTAATAAATTGCAAAGGTGGATATTACCATCATGAGTTACTTCACAAACAGTTAACAAATTCTGTTCATTACAGTTCAACAACAACTGGCGAACGTGAAGTAAGTTCGGAGAGTGAAGTCGCACCAGTAATTGTGGCCCACGCTCACGGCAGTAGTGCGATATCATGCGAGACGCCCTCTCCTTCGCGCTCACTTCTTAAAGTGCTGCCGGTAACTGTAACTGGACCAAAGGGTGAGATGGATATTTATGCTTTATTGGATGACGGGTCTACAGTTACTCTGATTGACCAAATAGTAGCCGACACAATCGGTGCACAAGGGCCGAAAGGCACTATTCAAGTTAATTGTGTGGGCGGCTTGGCGAAAGATTCTGTAGTAACCTACATTGATATTAACATCAAAGGCAAACACTCTGACAAAACCTTTAATTTAGAACGGGTTCGCTCAATACCTGATTTGGGTGTAGCATGCCAAACAATTCGATCTGTAGATGTTGCAAAGTTCTCTCATCTTCAGGATTTGGTGAAAGAACTGTCTTACGAGGAAGCCAAGCCTCTCTTAATAATTGGTATTGACAATTGGCATTTGTCATTACCGCATGGCATCCGACGCGGTTCTCGTAACCAACCTGTGGCTGTCCAAACCGTTCTAGGATGGACAATGTTCGGTAGGCTTCCGGGTAAATCCGCGGAGTTTATCCATCATAGCTCGGTTTCCGATTTAGAATCTTTAATAAAAGAACATTATCATCTCGATTCGATTGGCATTACAAAAAAGAACTTCCACAGCGTAAACGATGAGCGGGCTTTGGCTATTTTAAATGAAACCACCCAACGTCTTCCTTCAAGTAAGTTTGAGACTGATTTGCTCTGGCCACCTGATATCATCTCAATTCCAAACAGTTATAAATTAGCATTACCCAGAGTTTATTTCAGAGTACCACCCCCGAAAGAAAAAGTTTCTTCCGGACGGATTCCCTAACGGTTTTAAAGTGGTTGCGTAGCGATGCCCGCACGTTTAAGCCGTTTGTTGCTCACCGTGTAGGAGAAATATTAGAGACTACAAACGTTGCCAATTGGCGTTATGTTCCATCGGCCTTAAATGTAGCAGATGATGCTACACGCGGTCTATACTCTCTTTCCTCTTCCTCTCGATGGTATACTGGCCCAGATTTTCTTTTGTCTCCACCAGAAGAATGGCCTCGCGAGCCTGCGATCATTGCTCCACTAGTAATTGAGGAACTAAAACCCGAACACGCGTTAACATTTTTGCTAACCGAACATCCGGAAATGCCATCTCCGATCGTAGCGAATCACGATCATTTCGGTCGTTGGGTTCGGTTGGTTAGAGCAACCGCTCGTGCACATCATTGTGCTAAAATATTTCGGTCGCTTTTGAAAAAACCTCCAAATTCAAAATTAAAGAGTGCTGCCTCCAAGGTGTCCTTCAAAGTTTTGAAACCTCTTTCGGCCGCAGAAATCTTGGAGGCCGAGAGGCACCTATTTTTATATACTCAATTGGAATCATTTAAACACGAATTCTTGAGTCTTACCGCGGGTCTTCCCCCAACTAATCAAGGGAGGCTTAGAGGTCTTGTGTTGATGTTGGGAGAAGACGGTTTAATCCGTTTAAATGGAAGAATTCGTGCTGTATTAGATGCTCCCGCGCAGGACATTAACCCTATTGTTTTAGACGGTCGACATCCAACTCCTTCTCGATCACTATCATCGGAAATTTGGTCATGGTAATATCGAGACCGTCGTTAACTTCCTGCGCGGCAAATTTTATATAATAGCTTTACGCCCAAGTGTCAGGTCTGTTGCCAAACAATGCAGTTTCTGTAGGATTAGGAAGCTTCTCCCATCTACGCCTCAATTTGGTGATCTTCCTGAAGATAGGTTATCCTATCATCAGCGCGCGTTTTCCTCCTGCGGTCTTGATTACTTCGGTCCAGTTGAAGTTGCCGTTGGGCGCAGACGAGAAAAACGCTGGGTAGCTCTATTCACATGCCTTACCATCAGAGCCGTTCATTTGGAGATCGTAGGAAGCCTTTCCGCAGATGCTGCTATCATGGCCCTAAGAAGATTTATTGCCCGTAGAGGATGTCCAGCGAGAATCATCTCAGATAACGGCACGGCTTTTGTCGGCGCAGCCAACCAACTCACGGACGTTTTCGACTTCGCGGCCAACCATAAAATAGAGTGGGTCTTCATTTGTCCAGCGGCACCATCAATGGGAGGTGCGTGGGAACGCTTAGTGCGATCAATAAAGTCTGCGCTTTCTGTAACCCTGAAAGAACAAGCTCCAAGAGAGGAAGTATTGAGTACCCTACTTCTGGAAGCGGAAGCAGTAGTCAATTCTCGCCCGCTGACACACGTACCAGTAGAGCCGGAGACACTACAGGCCCTCACACCCTTCCATTTTTTATTGGGCACACCATCAACCGAGTTGGTCCGTCCCCGCACCGATGCAGATCTTTGCCGTCGCTTAGACCACAGGAAGGTACTGCGGTTAGCGGAGCTGTTTTGGGCCAGATGGCTTCATGAATACCTACCCACGTTGATTCCACGAAAGGCCGGATCGACGCAAGCCAAATTCAAAGTGGGAGATCCAGTTCTGGTGGCGGATCCAAATCTTCCGCGAGGAACCTGAAGGCCGTATTTCTAAGATATTCACCGGTCCTGACGGAGTGGTCAGGGTGGTGGAGATCCGGGGAAACATGGGGATCTTGAAAAGACCAGTGCGCAAAGTGTTGCCCTTACTCCTAGAGCAGGGCACCCAAGAAAACTGCGCACAGTCGCCACTGTAGATTGGTGCTCTGCACCGGGGCGTGCCATGTTGGCGACAGACCTCTTTTTATAGATATTTCTATTTTTAAACCACATATTTTTATATACAATTTTTGACATATATTTTTTATTATATTGTTTTGCGACATTGTGTCATATACGCTACCACTAAATACATCACTATAATTTTGGTAAGTAATTTTATTTATATTACCCTATTTCACTGCCGTTGCCAGCCGTAATAAAGTGCTTATTATTGGAAAATATAAAAAAGACATTTAATTAGGCCGATACAAATGACGACAATGCCATCTATGAAAGCATTTTGAAAACATTGAGCCCCATATTAGCACTGATTAAAGTGTAATTAAGTACTGGAAAATAACAAAATGAGTAAATATATGAAAATTACTTTTCTAAACGCATTATTTCATTTTAACATGTATATATAACTTTTTAAAAATTGATTAAACATTTTTGAAAACACAGTTCTGTTTTTTAAAACGTTTGCAAAACTATGAAGAATTCCATCGATACCAATCACGCCATCTATATGCAACTTTTAGCAATAATAATGGCTACTTCCTCATTGAGTGCCACTGGTGAGGACTGACGTATCGTTATATGTAAAAATGAAACAATATTTATAAATAATCATGACAGTACTGCATCTCTTATGTGTAGTATTTTGGTTTATGATTTGATTGGCTGGACTAGTATGTAATGTGTATACTTACCTAAAGCCTCCTTCTTCATGGTGACAGTGAGCCGGCCGCTGTCGGCGTGTGTGAGGTGCGGGTGCGGGGGCTGGGCCGGCGGCAGCGGCGGCGGGCGGCGTTCGGCGCGCGCGTGATCGTGCTCGTGTTGGTGCTGGTGCTGGTGCTGGTGCTGGCAGCACGTGCACGCGCACGCGACCGACTGGGGCGTCTGACACCGCCACTCTTCACACTGCAGCACACCCAACATATTGTACCTCACAACAGTACGCAACACAGCCACAATGTGTTATCTTCTTTACGAAAATATATGAGACAGAGCAATCGCACTCGTATTGGAAAGGAACTGACCTCTACCATCAGCTGACCCTAGTTCAGAAGCCAGGACTATGAAAAAATTGTAAATGTGACTTAACTGATGCACTAACCTTAGAGAGAAAAGGTTGGTACGAATATAAATCTAGATTAGTACTGGTCGGTGAACCTGTTGGGAGTGGAGGTTGCAGCCTGCGGCGGCGCCCGGTCGGTGCGTCCGCAGCGGGTGTCGGGGCGGCGGGGGCTGGCGGTGCGCGGGCGGGGGCGGGGTGGGGGGCGGGTCGCGCTCCGCCGGGAACCGAAGCCGCATCTGGACGTCGGCGGGCAGTGCGGCGCGGCACGACCCCGCCACCGTCACAGACCACCCACCTTCGCACACAAGACCACGCCTGCCTATATTTTTTATGGATGATAAAAATGGAATGATGCACCCGACTGCGCTTACGGTTTATTCTGGCGGGGCACCAGTGTAGGGTGATAAAATGATCTTAAGGTTAAGTCAGTTAGTGCATCCTGGCAAAATCACCGAGAATTTACCACGATGGTTTCCAGGGGGAACCACGCTGAGGTCCACATTACTAACTGTCTCCTCCCCCTCTCTCGGCTGCCTATTGGCGATCAGACGCTGGACGACGTGACGTACGTGTCTCTTCTCCACTTCTACACTTAGATTCATGCACCTACCGTGGTTTCCCTCGAGAGACTCCAGCATGGGGTTTTTCAAGAAGGGTGTATTAGGTCACCCTGTGCAATATTGTTCTGTTAGCTGTTCTGTTAATTTATTTGAAACTATAATTTATACTTGTGATGCTGAGGAGTCGTGCCATGAACTGCGCTGTGTTGTTGTTGATTAGTTGTTAGACTGAAAGTTTAGTCATCACCTACATTAACAACTATGTAGTATAACATAAGAAACAGGAAGTAGTTTTAATGTGCAATGGTTATGGACTTCTTGCAGTTAACTTTTGAAATGTCGAGAGAAGTCGTTAACTGTTTTGCTATAATTATATTGATTACACAACATTGTTTACTATGATTGGGAGCAATTATAGATATTTTTAAACTTTCGTGTTTAATATACATTATTTATGTTATTAACCGGGTCTTAACACCAACTAATTTTATGGCAAATAAAGGTATTTACCACGGCTAGTGCAACCTAGTCGAAACGTCGAGAAATGTAGTGTAGTTAGTGTAAGTTAGTGTAGTAGGTAGGTAGTAAAGTTCGTGTTATGACCCGGTTAATAACATAAATAAGCAATCATAGAGTCAGGATATAGTGGTGAGCTATACTTGCGTTGTCATCAAAATATCTAAATTGTGAATTAATAAGCACAGCCATCGTAATAGAACGCTCTGGTTGGTTCATGAGAGTTTGTCAGCAGGCAAGGAACGTGTACAACATAATACCATACTTACATGTATGTATGTACGTCTGAAACCCGAACTCATACCGACAACCCGAACTCACGCATGACATATTTTTTTATCACACACACTATCCTTACCGTCCGGTAGGGACAGTGATAAAAAATATATCGTGCGCGAGATATCGAAAGGTGAAGTAATTATTTAGACTTTGAATATGTAAATATATGTTTCGCTATAGCATTTGTGTTTATATGTACATGTATATGTGAAACACTCGCAGGAATCTCTGCACATAAGAACGGACTATGTAGTAGGTGAGAGGCACGATTGCCTTGTTGCTTGTTTTTTTTTTTAATTGGGTGAGTATAGAACGGTAATCCCGCCTGCTCTAACGGTAAACGCGGCAGGTTTTGAAGATAAGATGGTTTTCAGAGGGGATCGCGTCATGTTGTACTGTATGGAACTCTATCCTTATATAAATCATAGGACATTATAATACTCTTTATTGTATATTTGAATTCTGAAATACATTACCGGCAGTGGGGTCCCATAACCTCTCATTACTAACAATTTCTTCTTTCCGTGCGGAAACTATTATACGCGTATACGACTGAATAGCACCACAAGCATCACCGGTGGACTAAAGTGTCATGTCTTCAACCCTGTAATTATTCTGCCATTTCACGCCGCCATCAAACCGAAACCCAACAAATACGAATCTAGCCACTTGACGGCAGTCACAGAGAACACGGGTGTAACCACGCGACGGATTCGTAGTTTTCCTCTGTAGCATGTATCGGGTGAAGTTGGGTCAGTGAGTTGTACATACATAGAATATTTTCATGGCAACTGTTGACACTATTTGATATATTTATGGTTATTATTTGACTGAGTCGCTCGTTAGATAGCTGCACGTGCCTCGATGACACACCTGACTCGACCGTACACTACACCGGTCGTAATGTTACGCATATTTCTATCTACTTGTAATATTATAATCTTAGAATAAATTAAATTCATCTAATTGTTACCTATATATGTAGTTTTGTAATTTATTAGCTGTTTGAATCATAAGTTTATTTTATAGGAATCTGTGGACCTAATTACATGATTTAGCTCTTTCTTGTATTGATGGCGTGGAAGAAAGATATTAGTCAATTGGAAATTTATATATAGCCTGATTGAAGATACAACCTATGTGGGCTGCAGAAAGGAAGATTATAATGTGAGTCGTAACATTAATTGTTTGTTTGTATAGTGCCATTCTACTGGTCTAGTGGTGTGCTCGTGTCCGGTTTACCTGTGGCGTCCACGCCTGGCGCCACGGCGGGCGGCGGCGAGTCGGCGGGGGTGGCGGTGTCTGCGGCGGAGTCCCGGCGCCGCGCGCTGCGCTTGTGCCGCGCGTGCGTCGACAGCCACTTGGGCGCCAGCGAGCACAGCAAGCTACCGCCCGACTCGCTGCTGTCGCTGGAGCTCGCCGTGCCGCTTGGCTTGAATTCCGGCAACTTTACCGACTTCGTCCTCACCGTCTCCTCCTCGCTTCGCTCCATCGATATAGTTCGAATTTTTCGCTTATCTGTTTTCCGAAATGTAACGTTGCCTTTTTGGATCTGGTCGGTGGTTCGATTCAGATTGTCGTCGATCGGTTCGGTCCCGGTACGTTCACGAGACTCTGATTTTGCTCTCGACGGGTTTTTATTGACTTTGGTCTTTGATCTTTTTGTGTCAGTATCGTTTTGAAGAGGTTTCGATTTATATTTATCTCCTCCTACGATTATGGGATCGAATATTCCGGTTTGGATCGTTCGAACCGTACGGTGTGTGTCAAATTCGCGGTCATATTGGGTCGTTACCGACCTGCAGTCTTTAGTTTTATCCGTTACAACGTTCTTCTCTTTCAAACCTTTACATAAATAAAAAACAAAGTAATGTAACTTCAAATAATTTAATATACAATTCATCGTTAAAATCACAAGTCAATAGATTGCAATGCAATGAAATAAATTATTAACGTGCTGATCTAACAGTGCCATACTTTATTAATAATGTAAAAATATACTCGCTACAAATAATATATATTTTACTGTTTTAATGTTTAATACAAAATATCTGTGGGATGAGAGCGGCAGCAGTGTTACGCTGAAACTACTCTACGGAAACGGAGGAAGCTGTGCAGAGAGATAACAATGTCGGTGCACAAGCGAGCGCGATACCTTCCTCTGGTAGCTTGCCCTCGGGTTGCGTGAAGCCGAGCCACGCTCGACTCCGAGATGTGAGACCGCGTTTGCCGCTAGCTGCAATAGCACTTGCTTCATCGATCGTGTCTGTAGTACCTCCGGCCCTGCCATCGGTGCTGCTCTGTGAGTTATATTTGGTACCGACTGTTGCATCTGTCGTTGGGCCACTGGCCGTACTACTAGTCACGGTGGATGTAGCTTCTGAATGCGTGGATATTTTTAAAGGACTAGTGGCAGCTGATCTTTGGCTAGGTGAAGTCATAGTGGTTTGAGATTTTTTCTTCAGGTTTCTTTCTTCTGTGCTATTTATGAACGGAGAAGTTCCAGCATATTTGTTCTCTTTAGATGTTTTTATACATTTTTGAGAGTCTTTATATTTTATTGTGTCTATAAGCCTAGCTGTTTCCGTATTGCAAGTCCCTCGATTATTATTTTTGTTGTAAGATGGTCGTAATTCATCTGCTAGATTTGGCGCAGATGCTCTGCGACTGTAATGTATATCTTCGTTAGAGGAGTCTATACTTAAGCTGCTCCTCTCTTCGGGTATAATATCGAAGACTCGTTTAAACTTTAAAGAATTCGACCGCGATCGTGGCTCGTAATGAGGTACTGATGATCTTCGGGCTGAATTTTCAGTCGAAAATAACCTTTCATTATTATGTATTACGTCATTGCTTCCATTTTCACTATCAGCGAGCACTTCCAGTAACATGTTAGTAATAAGGTGATTAGATTTGGAATTATTCTCCTGTGCTGTAATTTTTGTACAGATATTGCTTTTGTAATTTTTATTACAATTATTTGGTGTCTTCTGAATTCGTTCGTATATTGGGATGGGTATTCGGGACTTTTTATTCTTACTAACATTACCTTGACTATCATCAGAATTAGTATTATCTGGAGAACTATTGGAGTCGTTTACGTACTCTAATATTTCTAAAATTTCTATACATTTATTACCATCCTGTATTTCAGACTTTTGATAAAATCTTCTTGGGCCACGGTCATCCGAAGCAATAGGAGGATGTGTTAGCAATGATAATTTACCATGAATTTGTTTTTCCGTTTTATTATCATGCATATTATCAGCATGCTGTAATCTGTTCTTTGCAGCTTTACTGGAATTTTTATTATTGTAGTACTCCAGATCCTTTTTCCAGTTTCTTTTAGAAACATTCTCATCAGATTTTGAAGTTGTTATTTTATTGCACTTTTGCTTTATACGCATGTACTTATGCTCATCTTGAGCTATCTTTGATATAACATCATCAATAAGAGCGTTAATTATTGCCAAACAGTCTTTTTCTACGGCTCTTTTGGATCTACAAAAATCTGTTTGTCTTTGTTTCTCTAAATCTTTTTTTAACTGTTTTACCTTGCATCGTCGCGCACATTCCAAACGCATTTCCCTTTTTCTGTGGCGTCGATAAAGTCGCTGTTTTATTTTTTCTGGCATATGGTCGGCTACAACTACATTTTCCTTCTCGCAGTCCAAATCATTATCTTTTATTCTAATGAAAAATGACTCACTTTCTTTAGCTTGATTCAAATTATCCTGATTTGTATACGAGTTTTCAGGCAATAAATCTAAAACATCAATCGCTGATCGTGCTAACTCGTTTCGTCTATTGTTATTAAAAGATCTGCGTAAAAGTACAGATCTGGGAGAGTTTGGATCGTCTAAACTATCTACGAGACTTGTGCAGTCTGAGCCTATATTGTCTGGATCGTCTGAAGAAGAAGTATTTACTTCCATAGAATCCGTATTAGGAAGTGCTGAAAATCGAGGAATTACTATATTGTCATTTGAATCCTGAAAATAATTACCAGCCCCTACGTTACTTATTAATTCAGAGTCCAACAAATGCTTAGTAATAGGTATGTCTGTAGCATTTGTGCTTTCCAATACCGCATCTGTATTGTTGTCAATATAGACGTCCACGTTGGAAATTTCTATATGGGATATTTCTGGTATAGATTTTTGAGAATAATTGTCATCAAGAAATAGTTTCTGTATTTGTTGCAGTACAGCTTTATTTACATTATCGTGTTGTAATGAATTATTATAATTAGATTCCGAAAACAAATCCCCTTCGGCGGCCATGTTTTGGTGAAAAGATTCGCTAGATGTGAGATTGTTGTTAGATTCCACACTTTGAATTTCTTCTCGAAATGAGACCCTATCTCTTAGTCCTCGATGATTAATACATTTATCTTTATTTTCTTCATTATTATATAATTCCTCGTTTCCAAATATGATCTGATTATTGGACATCGGGCTGAGATGTACAATTGTATTAACACCGGTATTTTGCAATTTGACTTTTATTTCTTTTTCTACGATGCTTACTTTACGGTCACTACCAATGGATGCATTCATACATTCGATTTGATCTGTTAGAGAGTTGAGACTTTCAACTAAAATATTAGACACGTATTCATCGATGTTTATATTTTCTGAAGTTCTGTTTGTCTGTACAGGCGCTTTAAATGGCTGAAGTATACTTTCCGGTAAACAACGTTTAGCAGCAGGCACTGAATTAGAATTTGATGTTTCGGAAACCACAATTTCTAAAAGTTCGTACGCTGGTGTTTCCACTGTCAATGGAGTATCATAACATAAAATATTATTATCGTCATTTTCTATATTTAATGATCTTTCACTGAATTGTCCTTCAATTTGAGCGCTACTACTCGATGTCTGCTTACAAATGTTCTGCCCTATATGACCATTCATTTCTTTAGCGGTGGACATTGATATCGTTACAGACTCCGACGTATCAGTCTGGCTTTCGTTTTCAAACTGTATCTCTTTAGGACTATTTGACTCAATTTCTGCAGTAGTCGGATCTGACAATAATGTTTCGGTATCTCGTGTTGAACAATTTTTTTCAATACTGTCTTCAAATTTATAAGCACTACCGTTACTAAATGTCTCTATATTCCTGGTATTAGGTGACACGTCGTGGCAGTAGGATTGACATGTGGAACTAGATTGGTCCGTTTTCACGGCCATCTCAAATCGAGACTCCTCGGCTCTGTCGTGACTATTCCTCATCGCGGCTCTGAGCATTTCGTCACTGCCGCGGAAATCCCGCGGTGAATCATGTCGCAATCGTTTCGGGGTCGCCCAGCCGGCGGCCGCGGCGGCGTGCGACTGTCGGGACGATGTGAAGCTGCTCGATAAGTGCCGCAACTCAGAACGCGAGCCGTCCAGAGATCTCGTCTCGCGCCCGCAGTAAGTTTGTGAATCGCACAGGTCTCCGCTGCAGCAGCAACACGACTGACAAGGGTTGCAGGAGCGGCCCCACATGCGGCGCAGCAGGGCAGATTTACGCATGAGCTCCCGGTCGCGGCGCATGAACCGGTGGGGCGTGTCGCACAGGGAGCTACAGGAGCCCCGCGGCGGAGACGCGGACGCCGGCGACGGGGTCCGCGTGCGGCCGCTCTCCTCCGTATCGGACTTCTGCTGAGCCAAGCGATATCTGAAACGTCCACAAATAGCGCTGTAAGCAACGTATACGATTGAAATTCATAATGTTTGTATAAGTAGATGTGTGGAGTGCACGGTGCTCTTGTTCTGGTCTGGAAATTAATATAAACAATGATAGACAAATATATATATCCAAACAAGTAGTTATATTTACTGATTGAAATCAATAAGAACAACAATCCCGCACAAGAATTATGATAGTAGCATCACGATATTAAAAAAATAGTAGAACGGACACTTAATCATATGAATTACACATATTAAAAAACAGGTTGCTATTAACATTGTGTATCACTACATAGTATAAAACGAAGTCGCTGTCGCTGTCTGTCCGTCCCTATGTATGCTTAAATCATTAAAACTACGCAACGGATTTTGTAGAGGTTTTTTTATAGGTAGAGTGACTCAAGAGGAAGGGTGACACATATATATAATACATGCATAATATTGTAGAGTAACACTGATCAATTTAGAGGTTTCTAATGTGATGTCGTAAGTAAACACATTTTTTTTCGCTTACACTGCAAACGCTGGCTGAACCCCACGAGATAAATCTATGTGTCTATAATTAAGGTGCACTGCACTATTGTACACCTTAATTATGTCAACTTCTAAACAAAACATGTTTCTATTGTCTAATGACAAAAAAAAGCTGTAAACGTTGTTTATAAGGATATTCTGTAGTAGGTAGGTATACTTAGGATCAGCATTGCGGGCCGGGCCGGGGCGGGTGTCTATTATCATTACAAATAGCATTGTCAATGGTCGGTATGATGAATGATAGAATCAAGTAAAGTAGTTGTCGAGTGTGGAGTGGAGGGCGTGTGTGGGGCTCGCTTACTTCCTCATGATGGTCTCCGGCACTGAGTAGCGGCGCCGCATGAGTCCGGGCGAGGCGCCGGGCTGCGGGGACAGCCCCGCCAGCTGCCCGCGGGTCAGCATGCTGTCTACGGTCCGGCCGCGCCCGCTCGGCTCGCCCTCGCCCTCGCCGGCCTTCAACTGTCGCCGCGCTCCGGACGTGTGCGACACGCTGCCACTGGAAACACCAAACAAAATATCAATGCGATATTTATAATAAGCCCAGCTGACACTTGTCTCAACACAAGAGAAGGAACACATTGATTTTATATCTCCGATTATAGAGAGCCTCGGGTCCAGGCTATAATTACAATAACGTGCGAAATCGAGGCGAATCATTAGTTAATTCTTATAAATAAAGTAATTTTATGTAATCGATAAGTAATTAACTATTTTATAATGGTGTATGTTTAATAACATTAATATCAAATCAAATCAAATCCAATCATTTATTCGCAGAACACCGTACTTATAGGTGTATACAATATTCAATATAATGTCCAGTGTATACAGCCTGCATACTGGCGTGCAAATTTTTATATATTATTATATTTGCGTCACACTAATTTTTGGAATTATTGTCATATATAATTAGTATAGGTTAGGCATTAAATTACTAAATTCAATCAATTCTTCGACACTATAAAAACAATGTGCCAATAGTAATTTGGCTAACGAATGTGATTAGTAACGTAAATAAAATAGTAGTTTGATATGAGTACACGTACAGGTACACGTTCGTTCATTTAAAGATTCACTGTTCAGATATAATGTTATGATTGATTGCTGCGGCGGGCGGTGGTAGCGAGACGACGACGACGTGGTCACATATGTACGGAATGCAAACAATGTGCGCTACATGGCGGAGAAGTAGGCGGCAGATACACGACGCCAATAAACGGAGCGGATCATAGAAAGTATGCAAAACTGATGAAGCGAGAGCGCGCTCGGCAGCGGGCGGCGCGGGGCGGCGGGCACTAGCTCACACGGACACCAGCCGTGGCACACGAGTGACACTCCATGACATGAGACGACAAACAGACACACGTCCCTCCTAGTACAAGCAATGAGTTTGTTGTACTAATTTCTTGATCACGTAAGGGAGGCACTTGCTTGTATAATTAGACAAAGGTCTGTAGTTGAGCTGAGTTTCTTGTCAGTTCTTCTCATCTCGAATTCATTCCGAACTGACGGTAGATTTGACATATCATTAGAGTCTGTAATAGACCTACGTGAATAAAGATATTTTTAATTTAAATTTTGAATTTCATTTTCACCATTTTCACAGTTCAGCAAGTAGTAGGTACCACTTACTACTAAACAGTTTTTATTTAGCTAGAATGACAAACGAGCTGGCGATGGTGAGCGGCAACCGATGGTCACCACAGGCTACATGTGTCGTCACATGAAGCGACTCCTTCATGCGATATCATTCTGGTGGACTAAAGTGTAACACTACCCTGTAATTCCACTGCCATATCTCACCATCCAATCTAAACTTACAAAGCAGCGCCAAGATCAAACACAAACAAACACTACTAGGTACCTGCGCAAATCTACTTTATATAGCAAACGTTTCCAATAACACGATTGATACTCGAGAAAAGAAAAACAGAAAAGGAAGACGGAAGCCATCGTGAGTTTATTTACAGTAGTAGTGAACAGTTGCAGGCCGAGACGGTGATGATGAAGACGTTTCAATGGGGAACAATTAAACAGACACCGGCCGTAGTCAGGTCACTCACCTGGTTCAGTGATCGAACACGTCCTGTACGTTTCAGATTCCTATAGTCACATAAATAACGTATTAATAATGTCCAAGTTTATTTATTTATCTCGGCGCCCTGTTAGTTCACATGCGGCAGTGGCAGCAATGAACTCGGTCGCTGCAGATAGCTGAGATAAGCCTACAACACCTCGGAAGGATTAGTGCAGTCACACGCACAAATAACTCGATCTAAAATGGTATCAGTCTGCATGTTCTAAGAATAGAGGAGCGTCGGCCCTTGTGCAGCACGCAGCCGGGTGACTCGGTGCGGCGACATCTCCTCGCCCCTACTCATACATTCACACTATGCTTGCCAGATGGGCGAGAAATCCAGGATTGTCCTGGAATTTTGCCTCTGGGCCCGCGTCCAGTAAATAGACCTTATTGTCCCTAATTCTGAAAACCTACCAGTTTTGTAACAAAGTGAACTAACAACGATTATTTTTGTTAGAAAAAAAATTGTATTGATTATTTAATTATTGAATTTAGATTTAGATAGAATAAGAAGGTGCTCAACATTGTTTATTTTATGCACCACCAAAACTAAATTTATAAGAGGCTGTTAATATTTTCCTTTCAAAATAAAATATAACAAGATAGAGTTGTCGTAGAATTGTCCCGGATTTGATAAGTTTCTATCTGGCAACCCTAATTCACAGCGATGTTGAAATATGCGGAGAGAGTGCACCGGAGTGCGACCGCAACGAGCCCATGTCACTATTAACTTGCCCGTTGGTTGTGAGATAATGGCGTGATGACTAATAAGATATTAACACCGGCGTCCACTTGACTCATCCGCGACTTGCGACCGGCTCACGCCACTGTGCTTCCACGACGAACCAACAGTTCGTATTATTTTATTTAGCATATTTTTGTAACTCTTTTAGCTTCTGCGTTTGCGCTGTCGGGTTACTCTCGCTTTAGCAGAGTATGTTGAATGTTTTGGAAGTGTTTTATTTGTTCAGTTTATATATGCACTAGCTACTCGCCCGGCTTCGCACGGGTGTACATGTATTATATATATAAACCATTCTCTAGAATCACTCTATCTTTAAAAAAAAACTGCTTCAAAATCCGTTGCGTAGTTTTAAAGATGTAAGCATATATAGGGACGGACAGACAGCGACAGCAACTTTGTTTTATACTATGTAATGATTTGTTAATACTATTAGTTATGTGTATATATTATATGTGGTTTATATGTTTATTATACATGTGTATGTTATTATATAGATAGTTTGAATGTATAGATAGTTTATATGCGTGTGATATTTTGATTTATACATGTTCACGACGAATTGTTATGCCTGTAATGGACTGGCCATTACAGATAAATTGCTGAGTCTAAATAATTTCACTATTTACCTCGTTATATAAAAACAGTTTATACAGTTAGTCAGTCCGCGTCGATACCCCATTTCATTTGCACTTATATTGCATAGGATATGTTTGTTACCATCATAACTTTGTGAAACTATATGAACTCAGTGACTTTAGTGTTGTGTGTTAAAAGTGTTTTTTTTTTAAACCAAACAGACCGCAATATATTTTGCGTTGAGTACGCGGCGCCGGCGTATGTGTGGTGGTTTGCGTTGCATTTCTAATTTCCATGCAAGCGTTGCGTGATGAAACAAACAACGGTTGTTCTGAGCTGAATCTAGTCAACTGCGTGCTCGCGTCTGTTGAAGTGTGAACGAGCGGCGCGCCGTCCGTGTCGTGCCGAGCTGTGACACACAACACGACAGACCAACTGACTAAGTTTACAGACTAGGTTTGTTACAAGTACAACCTGCGTTCCAGGTCCTAGCTCTGAATGAGGAATAAGTTGCACATATCCACGTTCATAGGAGTGAACACAAAGTGACGCCGCGCCGGTGTCGGAGACGTTGAAGAGTAACCGTCTAGCATGGTATGGACATGTAATGCGTAGGAATGAAGATAATATTTTAAAGAAGGTGTTGCATATGAATGTGGATGGTTATAAGGGCAGAGGAAGGCCGAAAAAGAGATGGATGAACTGTGTGAAAGATGATAAGAATGGGAGTAAATAACGAGATGACTGCAAACAGAGATGAATGAAGAGAACAACATATTACTACGACCACAAACAAATGGGATAAGGAAGAAGCAGATGATGATGATAATCGCTTCTCTGAACACAATATACGTATACTCGTACATACTCGTAGCATATAGTTCTAAATTAATATTGCAAAGTTCGTATATGGAGATCGCAACGAAAGATGAGTCACGTTAGCTCGCATAGAAGGAAGGTAAATAATACGATCAAACACAAAGAAAAACCGCGAATAACGTAATAATATGTATATACATAGATAGAAGTCAACTTTGACCGCAGCCGCTTTACTTTTATTTTAGTGTTTTAGATTTGCAGAGATATTAAAATTAAAATTTTAATTCACGTATGAAATGTAAGTGTTGCGACTGTCAACAGTATGTTTGTAAATGAAACAGACAGCACGAACAGCACAGACAGCACAGAATGCACAGACAGCACAGACAGCACAGGCAGCACTGGTGACAAGTGATAATAACTATGACAACTAACAGTTGTTGACTGGTATCTGTGATAAATTTGAACTATTTTACAACTAACAAAATGATTGAACTTTAGGTTTAATCTGGATTTACGCACACACACATAATACACGCACACAGATAAATAACCGTGTAGCTCAATCGGTGTGGATTTAGTATGAACCATTTTGATTTTAATATTTTAATTAATAATGTGATATGTTTCGGAGTAACATAAACATTCTTTTTTAAATAACGTGATTTATCTTAATTATCAAAGTGCTAATATCCATATTTTTTTATTATATTATTCCTAGACGTTGTTGTACAACTAAAAGTTAATTAACTTTATTACATAAATTTACTAATTAATTTTCCATATTAATTCAGTTTATTTATTAATAGATACAATATAATTTATTATAAGTTATATTCACTTGTTCTAAATATTATACTTAGCAAATAATTATTTTATTTATATATAATAGTTGTGTTTTCAAGGCTTTGTTTTGATTTAAAGGTCCCATCCGTATATTAGGTGTGTCCGCGACGTCAGCGTGGTATAATGAAATTGACCAAATAAAGGAAATATATTTTTTATAAAAAAAAAGTAAACAATGACGATACTTTTATACAACCTTTCATCTCCGCTTTTAATCCCTTACAATACTTTTTTCTCATATACTATCTGTGTATATGTATATCTATCTATATAGACTACCTGTGTATATATATGGTAGTGAATTTACAAGGTACAGGGGAATAACAAGTTTTCAGGAATGGCAACGCATGAGGGAAACAATGTGCTGATATGAACATGTCAGACTGATGTATATAGGCGACGGAATCAAAGAGCAGATTGTTTGCCATTC